TATGCCTCTACTTTTCCCTATCTAGGCTCAATAATAAATGACAATAACAACATCAGTCAAGAAATACAAGCACGGATTCTTAGCGGTAATAAGTGTTTTTAGACATACAAAGACTTAATGAAAAGTAAGTTACTGAATCGTGAGTCTAAGCTTAGAATCTACAAAACAGTGGTCACATATGGATGTGAAACGTCGACCCTCTCAACCACTGATGAAAATTAACTGAGAATAATTGATCGCAAAATACTAAGGAAGATATTTTAACCAACCCAAAGCAGCGATGGTTCGTGGAGAATTAAAATGAACCACGAACTGGATGAACTAATGCAGAGCGCAGATATTGTTAGATTTGTAAAGTCACAAAGACTAAACTGGCGTGGTCACCTAGAAAGAATTTACTTTTGTACTTCTTATGCTGTACAGTAGAGTGCACTATTGGGTGTAGAATGTCTATAGATAATATAAAACAGTCGTAAATTCACAGTATAGATATACGATATACTAAGAAACTACTAATCCATAAAAAAATGGATATATATGTTTGGCCTATAACTAACTGAGACAAAATTTTATATGCCCAAAGTTCAACATCAACTTTTATAAATGTTACTTTTTCCTTAGGCACTACGTCCTTGGCTTCCTCCTCTATCATCTTTCAATTGGCACGATTTGGCATTGAGCCCGATATTGCCAACCTCTGATACCAAGTTTTTTGCTCTAGGTCTTTTGATTTCGACAATATTGGACTTCATGCACACTGGGGCCTTCTTAGTACCTCGAAAATTCCTAATAGAAACCATACCAATAAATTAGACGTTCTATATCCGTTGATCAATGATCATACTCTACTTCTTTGATTAAAAAGTGTTAAGTTAGTTCTTCTTTTTACGTATATACGTTTATGCTAATCTTGTCTTTTTATATAGTTTTGTTGTTTGTAGATTGTTTTCTAATTTTTCTTTGTATGTATTCTTTATTTTTGGTGAAAATTGTGTTGCATAACTTACATAACACATGCGTTAATGTTGAAAAAAGGGTTGCATAAAATCAGTTACAAAAAAAATGATCCAATTATCTTGAGATATTAAACACTACAGTAACAAGATTACTTCTCATGAAGTAAATTACATATTTTTTGCTATATTTCCCATTTGAATTTCGGTTAATTGGTCTTCAGTTATCTCGAGATTTCGTATTTATTAACGAGATTTTCTTGTTTTTGAAAGAGTTTTTGTGATCGATGTTTCGATTATTTCCTTGATTTTGTTTTTGTTTGCATATTTAACTTATCGTTGTTTCGCCGTAATTCTTTTATTTCTGGGCATTCGATTAACGTCGGTCGTCCATTGGTGTAATACTTCGCCGGTGATCTATTATTTTGTTCGTTTATTAATAGTTCTGATATATGTAATCATTTCCTTAATAAAGGTTTTGCTTTCAGTGTTCTTGGATACTACGTTTTTGTTTTGTTTCAAAAAATTAGCTATTGTTTTGCTATATCGTTCATTATTTATTATACTCTACAAGATTCCTTTTTTTAATGTTTGCTGGTTGCTTTTGTGTAATATGATAATTTTAAAAATGTATTTATCAATTTAGCATGAGCGCTAAGCCCAGCTTTATAAAGCAATGTCCTCTCGTTACGGTATCCAAAACTCTCAGGTATATCGCTTTAAGGTACTTTCCTATTTCCATTTGTATTTATCTCATAACTAAACCAGTAATTGTCAACCAGTTTGAAAAGGTTCATCATTTAATTTTATTATTTTAAATGGCGTCATATATGATTATTACATATGTTACATTATTCTAATAAGAATTATCTTGCTTCTTTTAGAGGAACCCAAATTTCCTTTAAATAAGGTAAGTCACAATTTGGTGAAGTCTATTCTTTATACTTACCTGGCGCCTAAATCTTTACTTCCTCTAGGTTTTGGTCAAGGGAAAATCCTTATTGAATTCATGAAGCACGTACCCAACATCAAAAAGTTGAATGTTCTGATGAAAAGTCTCCAAATAGGCTTATGGGCCAATTTTTCCTAGACGGAAACTAATTTAAGGGAGAATCCTTATCAAATTCATAAAGCACATTCCACACCCAGCATCAAAAAGTTGAATGTTTGGATCAAAATTCTCGAAAATATGCTTATAGGCAAATTTTTCGGAAACTTTACTGCTAACAAGCATTAAGATTTATCAACTAACCAAAATACTTCCTGCACTTAACCAAATCGATAGATCATTCATAGAGTGGCCTGCTTGTTCTTTGGACCTTAACCCGTTAGATTTTTTCTAGAACATACTTGCAGGATTTGAGACAAAGAAATTGTTGATGAATATGAACTAATACATGGAGAAGTCTTGAAAAGAGTAACTCACGAATCTAATAAAAGGCTTGTACCTTTTCAGGAGGTGAAACACGAGCATTTTGAACATTTCAAGTAATTTTTTTGAAATTTCATTGGTCTTAGTATATTAATGTACTTATTCTTTAACTGTTAAGTGATTTATTTCTTGTTTTAATACATTTTTTCTAACAAACATGGTACGTATTATTTATCTAAAAAGCTCTTTTAAAAACTGCAAAAATATACAGGGTGTCTCATTTAAATTAAGTAAGTAACGGCATTAGATATGCTATGTGTCATTGTACTTGCACGCAAAGTTTCATGAATATCGTCTTTTAATTTCAAAGATATTGGTTCTATACCTTATCCCCACTCTGTATAATCTACTAAAATTCATAATTAAACTCTTATTACTCTTAAAAAACAGAAGAAAACACGAAATTGCTGGTTATGATGGATTTATTTCATTCCTCTTACAATTCTGGTAAAAAACATTAAGAATCTAGAACAACTGACCGCCATTCTTCGATCAGTCGGCATTCGCATACGATGATTAACACCAAAAAAATAAGAAACAATTTAAATGCAAAGTCATACCTATTTCTAATGGCATTATTAATATAAATATTATTAACGGATAAATCATCAGATCACAAAACTCTAGTATAACAGTTTTTCCAAGATGATACACCTACACCTAACAGTCAAAAAATTAGGAATACACTAACGCAAAACCGGTTCGTGCCACGTCATACTTCACATTTTACGTCAAATACTCCGTAGATTTAAATAAAATAGTATTTAATTTCTAATAGTTAATGTATAGATTACATATTCTTAATATTGTTCTGAAGCTATTTTCTTGTGGCATTTTAAAGAAATGAGATGCCAAAAAAGCTGCTAAAAATATCAATTGACTTGCATCTGCAATCATCACTTTACTTAAGCACTCTGTACTGAAACAGACTTTTTTATTGAATTTTACTAACTTTCAACTTTATATTTTCTTTATATCGCAGTAGACATTGACGTCATTTGACATAAATATGGAATCTCGCCTATCCTAAATGTCATCTGTCAATCAATCTGGTGGTAAAGTGTTATTTCTTTTTATTTACCTGTCACCCATTAGAGAATATCAGCAAATAATTTTATTTTTCAAACAAAAAACTAACATGGGCGGCCATGTTCTAGCTACTTGGAAAATTATTTTAGAATAAACCTCAAAACTAGTAATTTCGGTATTCAATAGAATGAAAGCTCTTTTTCAAGTTTTAGGTCAATATTTTAATATCATTTAAACGATTTCTACTTCTAAATGTGCCTATCTTCTAGAGATGTTGGCGACAACATTGACCCATCTTATTTTATTCACAGCAGCTCGAAATAGATCAGTTGGTTATACCAGTCCGTTCCCTAAGATTGGCTAGCCAGCCAGAATATGCGTCTACGTCCCGGGTCTCTCTTACCCTCAATATTGCCCTGTAGAAGTCTGTATTTATCATTACGCATGATGTGGCCTAAGTAAATTACTAAATTTGACGAATATGATATGATGTTGGTGTCATTTATGACGTGATTTAATGTATGACGAGCAACGATACTTGTTTTGCGTTATTGTAGATCAAATTGGGAGAGGGAAGTAAACATTGAACTTTCATGAACATTATATCGAGAAGGGTGTATCATTTTTATATCGGAGCAATTGGAAAACGTCTTAAATGGTTAAGATTTAATGCAAAATCGAAAGAGATATTACTTTTTACCATTAGTAGCGAAAAGTTTGAATGTTGATTCGAACTGTTGCAATTTTTTTTGTCAAGAACACAAATATTAATTGGAATGGACAAATTAGTTTAAATTATGTAGATGGTTCAAAAATATATTAGAAATTTTGTGTTCTTGTATTTCTTTGTTTTATAGTTTTTTTAAGTTTTTTTTTTGTATGCGTTCAAAAATCGACAATTTAATTTATTATGTGGATTTTTTGAACAATTGTTGTTACTGTTGCTGTTGTCGCTTAAATAAGTAAAGGAGAGGTAATTGGATATTTCCGTAGTCCCAACTGCGTCCTTGATGGTGTTGTATCCCTTCTGCAGTACAAACTAGCAATTCATTACTAAAAATATACTGTGGAATGTACATTTTTCTTTTAGTGAGAAAATTACGAGAGTAGTGTACCTTAAACAAAAGAGATGAGTCCCTATATCAATCGAGAAACCTCATATGTGAATAAGAACTTTTGACGAGGTGTAAAAATACTACCAGAGCTAGTACACTTGTCGAAGCTAGCCTGAACATGTAGTTTCGATTTCAATGCATTTGAAATCTTAGGTGTTATTCTTAAAACTAAGTATTCAGAGGAAGGTTTAAAAAACGAAACCTTCATTCAGTAACTATTCCTGTGAAGGTGTTTGAACCATTCTAATGGGTGACATTTTCTTCAGAGCATTACATTTGTATTTAAAGTGTTGGAATATTCTATCTCACCCATTAGAATGGGCCTGCTCTATCACTATATTATGTCCAACAGTTCATATATGAAGCCACAAATAGCTAGGAATTGTATAATAACTACTAACTACAATAATTTTCTTAACCATGTAAGACATTTTATTCTAAAACATATTTTAAAAAAAGAATTATATAAATTTACAATTGACCACAGTCAGCTACGACAATTTTCTTGGATGTTTTTCCAGATTGAGAGCCCAAAGCCTCGATTTTCTTGACGACGTCCATTCCTTCGACTACGCTTCCGAATACGACGTGCCTGTTGTCCAGCCAGGAAGTCTTGACGGTGGTGATGAAGAATTGGGATCCGTTGGTGTCTGGACCAGCATTGGCCATCGACATTACACCAGGTCCTATAATAAATACATAATTTTAATAATTGTCAACTAGAAACATTTATCAAAACTCTTTAAGTCCAATTCTTATGAAAATTGTAACAGGCGATCATAGGAAACCGTATATTAAGTGCTATGTATAGAAGTAAAGCTCAATTCAATTCAATTTTGGCAAATAACTGTTTGAACCAATTTTTTAAGCAAATTTTCATTATTTGTTTGTTCTTTTTTTTAGAATAGTGCAAAGCGTATTGCATTTCTGTAAAATTTATTTAAAATGTTTATGGTTTAAAAACTAATTCATTTTGTAATATTGACTAAAAATGAACAACAAAATAACGAATAATTCAAAAGTTTCTTTTAAACATTTTATAATTTTTATTAGATGTTTTGACTTCCACTCGGGAAATGGTTTTCAAAAAAATGTATACAAAAGACAAACTTATGAAACAAAAAAAAGAAACAAAGAGCAGAAAAAACCAATTTTGGCAAAAAAAAAGTTCAGATCTAGGTAGCTTCATGGGGAGCTCGAAAGCAAGGGAGGCATGGAAAACGTTGCTGTGTATGATCAGTGCATTTTAGTTTTAAAAAAAGATACTGAATTGAAATTGTGATAAATTGATGATAGGTACAATAGTTGGTTATATTATACCAATACCATACCTTGGTTATTACTGAGGGATGAAAGTCCCTAAAAATTTCTATAATGTTTATATGTATAAGTTACAGGGGTGAAAAAAAAAAGAAAATTTAGTGGTATTTTTTATTTCTAATATCTCATTCAAAAAAATCTAAGGGACTTTCTGCCCTCGGTAATAATGTAATCTTTCATTCTGCGTTTAAATTTTTCAAAAATATTAGTTTTCTCAGGGTTGGAAAAGAATGAAAGCATTTAAAAAAAAAAGTATTGGCCCGAAATTTTGCGCCTACGATCTTACCACTACATGATGATAAAAAAGCTTGAAATTTTAAAGAAAAACCTTTACAGATAGATTTCTTTCCTATTATTATAAAAGCTTCAAATCTGATTTTAAGGCAATAAAAATGTATTTATTGAAATGTCTCAATCATTAAGCGCTTTTGGAATCAAACATTCTATTGTTTATTCAACACCCTTAAAATGTGTGATGAATAAAAACTAAAAATAACTCGTTCGTAGGTGTATAGACTGAATAGACGATGAATCACACTTATTTATTGATGTATCATTTTAAATAATGGAAAAATGATTCATTAAATGGACAACAATTCAGAATCACACAAAAAGATAATGAAATAATGATTGCTACAAATAATATCAATTTCCATAATGTATTCAATAAATTGTACTCAATAAAATTACTTTTTTCAGTGTTATGCCCTCAATAAAAATATATGTATTGCAATTAGGAAAGTTTTTTTTAAACCTATACTGCCAATTCTAAATAAGTGATGGAGCGATTAAAAGATCACATGTACACTTGTTATCAAACTATTTCAATAACCTTTTGAATGAAATATGTGGTAATTGAGTAATACTGTTAATATTTATTAAAGAGTTACACAGGTCTTGAAGAAAGCAAACAAACTTTTCAAATAATTGTATCTTAAAAACCAAAAATCTAGTTTGTTTAAAATTTACAGATTTTAAATATAAAAAAGTTTAGAATTTGAATAAGTTGTAAAAAAAATATCAGCTAAAAATATTGATATTATTGATTTTTCCCGCAGTTTACCTCATCCAGCCTTTCTGCTGTAGGCAGTATATTTCGATGTAGGTTAAGATTTTCTTATAGTTCATGACCTTGGCTCGTGATTGAACAGGGGAATTTTGAAATAAGTTTGAATGAACTTTCGTCTAATATTTTTTTAGCATTTTTTCGATTTTCATTGTTTTTGAAACATTTTCTTCGTAAAATGAGTCCACCGATTGAAAAACAATGGTATAAAGATGAAATGTGCAAAATTTGAGCACAATCGGTTAATTCGTTCTCGAAAAATCGTGCCTATGGCATGGAAAAACAAAGTTTCGAGAAAAATGCGTTTACAGTTTCTAAGCTGACTGCACGGTCTGCATTCAAATATCTATAATTCCTGTAATAGTGGTCAAATTTACTTCAAATTTCGTGTGAATACTCTTGAAGTATTAAATATACATTGATATGTATAACACTTCAAGAGTAAAATATATTTTTTTTTTGATTTTTTGAAAATACAAGACCTATGTAACCCCGTAACAAAATATATTTTCCTACTAACCGGTGTGCTTTAGTGTGAAGTTTTCATCTGCGAATTTGTTTCCATAGATTGATTTTCCTCCGGTACCGTTGTGGTTGGTGAAGTCGCCTCCTTGGCACATGAAGTTGGGAATGACACGGTGGAAGGTGGATCCTTTGTAGCCAAAGCCTTTTTCGCCGGTGCACAAGGCCCGGAAGTTTTCGGCTGTTTTGGGAACCACGTCGTTTCTTAGCTGTAACATAAAAATGTTTAAATTGTAGAGGAGGATCCAGTATTTTAATTGTTAACTTGTAAAGTATATCAAGTTCTAGTATGTCCAAGGTATACTTGTTCATAATGTCCATAAAAAATTGTAGGTTAAGCCGGATTTATAAACGGACATAAACATAATTTTAGTCTTTAACCATAATCTTATTATATAAGCATAATGTTGAAAGTTAATAAATAAATGTACCCATTTAAAAGCATTCATAATACATAAAACATAAATTTAGTCCTTAAAATGTGACCTTCAAAGTTGGTAACTTTCAACATTTTATGAATTAAGTATTAAACATTATGGAATTGTTGGAATATGCGCATGTGTAATCCAACGTAAAAAATTAAAGAACTGTTGCTCATCCCATTCCTTATTACGCTTTCTATTTATGGGTCTTACACTATACCTTCTTACTCTTCTTTGCTTGTTAAGAACTCTGGCATATATAGTCGCTACAATTGTTAAATAAAGTGGGACTGCTGCCATGGCCAAAGCAACTTTCCTATTAATCTTCATATTTATTTAAAATTATTTCACTTTTCTATGAATCTAAAGACCAGAAAAAATTCATCAAGATCTATAACAATTTGGTTAGGTTTGTATTTTTTGAAGAAGTTTTTAAATATTATGGTTAGGTATTATGTCTAGTTATAAACCAATCTTAAATCTTGTGAATTATGATTGTGGTTAAAGTTATGTTTATGACTTATGATTATGTACTATGTCCGTTTATAAACCTAGCTTTACCAACTTTGAAGGTCACGTTTTAAGGACTAAATTTATGTTTTATGTATTATGAATGCTTTTAAATGGGTACATTTATTTATTAACTTTCAACATTATGCTTATATAATAAGATTATGGTTAAAGACTAAAATTATGTTTATGTCCATTTATAAATCCGGCTTAAGTGTTTGCTCTAAAATCTCGCCGAAAACATGCAATTTTAGTTTAGTCTCTTATAAATGTGACATTAAATCTGGGATAGTAATAAATTAACAGAATGACACAGGTACCTACAGAGGCTACCTATAGAAATAATTGCTAATAACATAATTTAATCTAAAAAAAAAAATAATGAAATATTTATGGAATAATTGTGAAATTCTTCAATAGTTCACGTCAGATATCGTTTCTGAGAATTAAGGTCGATTCAGACACATCAGTCCCGTCACAGTCCCGACGCCGAACAGGTCCTGTTTGGTCACAGAACTATCAACTATCTGACAGCTGGCAAACTGTTCGTCGCCTGATGAATGTGAATGCCGGCGCCATATTTCTATTAAAGAATATTTTGTATAACAGATTGTTCGGTTCGGCGCCAGGACTGTGACTGCTGTGTCTGAATCGACCTTAAGTCGTCCTCTCCAATATATTGTTGGACTATAAACTGTGTGACTAATACCTGGTCCACCAGATTCGGAGCCATTCAGAACATTATCTCAAAATTACTTGCTATTAATTTGCCTTTTATTATAATGGGCGTGGATTATCATCACACGTGGTCATTAGTTTTATGTATCCATTGATAGCGTCTGTGTAATAAAATATTTATTTCTCGCTAAATAAAAAGTGAAGTAATCCGGAAGTAAACAACCTTCAGACACATGCTGACAGAGTTATCTAACACTTTTCAAGATAACACATTGATGTCATAGCTACTGTGATCGAATTAACTAAATCCAAATATGGAAGTGGTTCTATAAATCATATTTTTAAAAAACAAAACGAAATAAAGAAATATTTGTCTTAAAATTTGCATTATTTTGTGTTTCATAGAGGAATGAAGTAAAATGAACAGGTAGTTATTGATTTTATACATGCTTTTCACTGAAATATTCGAAAAGTATAAGTTGGTACTTTGTATATTAATTTTTTGTTCTGGTAATTGATAACGAGTCGGTTAAAAAAATATATGGCATGCGTGACATGAGTAAATCGATTTATATTACCCTAAAACACCACAAATTACTTGACCAAGGTAAACAAACAATACCGATCACCAGCTTCGCCCCGAAGTCCGACCCCTTTCTTTTAATTAGGGAACACAGTCACCCGCTAGCCTTGACGAAAAATAATTGCTTTCCCATATGTTCCAAATGAGCATTCCAAGGCCGTCACCTTTAAATTTTTTATATGTCCCCTGCGTGACAAGAAAGTGGCTTATTTTTTTAAAAGGAAACCATACTCTGAATACGTCGATATTTGATACATAATTCAATAATGTAACTACCTTGAATTTTTATACCAAATCAACGGAAAGGGGTAGATGTTTGAAAATATGTTTCAAATCGATACACCCGACGTTAATTAATATTTTTCATTAAATGAAAACGTTGATCCATTGAAAGAGACTAAAAAAATATGACAAGAAACTCTATTTTTACATAATCAACAAAGACAAAAGATGTGGAATGCAATGGCAGAACTTTCAGTTCCAAAAAAACTTATCCAGTTCGTTAAAGTTTGTGTAAATGGTTGTAGATCTAGAGTGCGGATAGGCAGCAAGCTCTCAGAGTCGTTTTAAATAAACAGTTGACTGAAACAAGGAGACGCGCTGTCACCTCTTCTTTTTAATATAATCCTGGAAAAAGTAGTTTTTCCTGGAAAAAAAAAGAACCGCACAAATTAGAACAGAACTACTGACAGTAAATGGACCAAAATTATTACTAGCATACGCGGATGACATTGACATTGTAGGAAATACCGTCACCAATGTTTTGCAATGGTTACTCTCGTGATGCAAATTTCGAAATTGTGGAGCATCCCCACAATTGTGTGTAAGGTTGGAGAAACCAACACACTTTTCAAGTTCATATGGCCAAAGCTCCTAGTCATGCCATACCTTAAACGGTCAAGGGGAGCTACAAATCCCCACGTTAAATGGAACCACCCGAAAGTGAAACAAAACAGAAATGGCAAATTGAAAATTGGAACCTTAAATGCGAAATTCCTTAACTTCTGCTTGTTCATTGACAGATTAATAACTCCAAGTGTGAACTTGGAACGCACCAGAATAAGCGTCGCTTGAGACAGACAGGACGGGACATTTGAACTACCCTGCTTGATACAAACAGGACGGGACATTTGAACTACTCTGCTTGAGACAGACAGGACGGGACATTTGAACTACTCTGAGACCGTGCGACGTCACAAGATGACGGCTGACAGCTGTCACCTGCCAAACGTCAATTCTTCTTTTACGCAACGTGAAAATAGCGTCAATTCTTCTTCTTTTAAGCAAAGTGAATATAGCGTCAATTCTTCTTCTTTTACGCAACGTGAAGATAGCTTAATTGGAATTATTAATAGCTAGACAGATTAATAAGTTCCAAGTAAGAAAATTCATAAACAAAGAAATTCACATTAAAAAACGAAACAAATTAAAAACAATAGATATATAGAACTTATTACTCTCAACAATTTACATACCAAAAATTGTTATTCATCCCTAGATTATAACAGAACACATGATTATATATTATATATCTGATTAAATATTTAACCCCTATTTGGCCTCTTTCAAATTCCAAGCACTGTGAAAAAACCGCCGTTTATTATGCTCAATCAACCACGCTATGTGAGCGTTTTAAAAAGGATTCACAGGTAATACATAAACCATAATTGTTGAGTTGAATAAAACAGTCAGAATTCGGTTTTAAAGGTGTATGAAAATTTTTGCAGCATTTTTGAGGTAACTTATATTAGGAACAACGCAATTTTAGAATTTCGGCAGAATAACGTCGGCATATCTGACAGATCTTATATATGAGGCTACTTGTAACCTACAAAAACAGTTTCCTACTTTATGACAAAATGTTCTTTATTGTAAATCATAAATTGCAAGATGGGCCTACCTCACTTTCCAATTGTTGCACTAGACGGCAGTACAATAACTTTTTTTTCAATTTTTGACAATAAATTTACTGTGAAAGCAAGGTGGATTAAGCCACAATTGATTGTAATTAAAAGTACAGTGGTGCCTCGATATACGAGCGCCCTAATATAAGAGTGTTTTGAGATAAGAGCTGCGGAGCGAGCGATATTTTACTTTGAGATGAGAGCAAGATTTGAGATACAAGGAATCAGTTTTTATTCAAATTCATACCTCTTATTTAACTACTAATTTGATTTGTAAATAAAAGGTTGTTTTGTAAATAAAATGTAGAAAGCAGCTGAGTTTTGCATCAAAACGTTTTCCGAACTGATAGAAGCCAAAGGATACATCCCCCAGCAAGTCTTCAACTGTAACTAGGCAAGGCTTTTCTGGAAAAAAGAAGCCGAATAGGTCTTACATACCAGCAGAGAAGATGATGCCAGGTCACAAACCTATGAAAGATAGATTAACTCGTATTACTTTACGTCAATGCGAGTGACGACTGTAAAAACAAACCTCTTTTAGTGTATCATTCAGAAAATTCCAGAGCCTTTAAATCACATAAGATTTTAAATGAAAAACTGCCAGTTATGTGGAGAGCAAATTCAAAGGCGTAGGTCACCAGGTAAGTTTTTGTAGAGTGTATAAATATGGTGTTTGCCCCTTCTGTTAAAAAATATCTACAGCAAAACAACCTACCCAAGTAAGATTACAAAACGAATTACATTCGTATGTCGAGGCACCACTGTATATTTTTAACCAACTTAAGGATGTTCTGAACCATTTCCACTCCGAAACCTGTTTAAAAATTCTGGGAAAATATATTGTTTTAACCAACAAGTTGTTGATAGGTTATGAACCTTTATTATAGGACGACCTTTATAGAAAAGATAATAAAAATCCTGATTTTAGTGGGTTTTTAGAAACATTTTTAAGAAAATTTATTATCAAATCAATGGTAAAAATTCTATCTTCTTATTCGAAAATATGACCATTCCATAGATCAAAGTAATAAATTATATATCTCATGAAAATATTAAGAAATGGAAAACATCGTCCAACATTTATTTTGGTAACACCTTTATAAAATATTGCTTTATTTGCGGCAAAATAAAAAAATTCATACGAAAGCTGCACTCCTTCACCAAAATGCATTGGTAAATAGATTTTTTTGTGTTTTTACCCCTACGGGGTTGGTTTTAGGGAGAAGCAGGGAGTAAGACTATTATGGTACAACAGCTCACCAAACACACACTGAACTAGGTATGTGAGAAGAATTCCAGTTAATAGAATGAAGGAACAGAATTTAACAAGCTAAGTTTGATGGAAAAAGAGGAAGGTCAAGGGACAGATGGACAAAACTCTGGCCAAAATTGTTAAAGATATGAGCCTCCGAAAGTTGGAAGGATAGTAAAATGTATTTTTCAATTTCTCAATGAGAAAAATCTGTTTTCAAAGTGAATTGCCCTATACTTAGACCAGGTTTAGATTAAGTGAAGCGTGTTAACTTTCTTTTGTTAATTTCTAACTTTTTTTTATATCCTTTATTGCAATAAATTCTCAAATTTGTAATATATTCTTTTTGGTTTTAACCAAACACTTGTAGTAGTAATAATTATATACAAAAACATACATGTTATATACAAAGACATACACATATATGCAGAGCAAAATACATGTCAACCAAAGAAAAAAATTACAAAAATTCTGTTACATATTTGAATTCATAAAACCAATTACCTTGTATGGTTCAATCTGCAATAAAGATTCTATGGTTCGGAGCACATATCCATATAGGCTTAACTTTACTGCTCGTGAGATATTGTATTTCAAAAGAGCAAAAGATGCAATGGGTGGTCTAGTTCTTTATTATCTCGAAATAATTTTCTCAATTTCATTATGTTAAAATAACTTTTCGTTACCCTAACAAAAAAAAAATTTTAACTACAATTTTATAAGAAATATACTAGAAACGCGTAAATTTTAATTTATTTTAAGTCGTGAGGAAAACAACACATGCATTATTTATTACTGAATTGTTGAGCCAAAAAATAGCACTTCATTTGTTGTTTTGTTTCAGATTATGGAAAGTTACGATGTTTATAGGAGTCAATAAACAGACAATGCCAACAACTAAAGCTAGAGAATAGCCTGTGTGTCAATGAATAAATCGTAAATAAAACCAAACTTTGATTTGGAGAATGTCCCAATTTGAAACCTAATACAAAATTATTTACATTAATATTAAAATTTTATTTGGCTGTTTTGACATTATTATTTAAATTCACTCTAGTTATTTTATGATTTTTAATTTATACTACATTTATAATCTACTTGTATGTAATATTATTACACTTCATTAATGACTATCTACAATTTGGAAAATTTAAAAATTATAACCAAGGTTTGAAAAAAAAAAAAATTTTTTTAAACATATTACATAGGATTATTATTTCGACATCACTTTGATTAAACTTTAACAAACAGTATACCAAGATAACAAATTTTCGCTATCAAAAAAATTCCTAATTAACTCTCTTATCACAATGTTCTGCAGTTGGTAAATAGCAACAGTATAGATTGTGTAAATGATGTAGTAATATATCATTATAAGTATATACACAGTAACAAGTGAAATATACATATATAAGGTCAAATATTTACCATATACGAGGTCAGACTCAAAAGTTTTTGTTCATTAGAAATTAGTCTTCCAGCCTGTGACATATTTTGAAGCAATCACTGCTGTAAACAATCAACTACCATCAGTGTATTAAATTTCTGTAGCAATTCTACAACTAATATGTTTGTAATAGCCTACAGTACTATGGCCCCATTTTTGAATTTTCTTTTTCATCATCATTTCTTCCTCAAGAATTTCTCTCCAGTCGTCCCTATCTATCGCCTTTCTCTGCAAAGCATGTATTTCCATATTGCTCATGCTTTCATTGATGGTATCAAGGAACCTCAAACACCTCAAAGTGAATAAAATGTTTGTGTATCGCACCATAACTCGTTATAATGATACTGGTAGCATTGTCAAACGCTATGGTGGTGGACGAAAAAAAAAACAGCAACATCACCTGAAATGGTTCGGAAAGTGAAGGCTCGACTTGAGCGAAATTAAAGTTGTAGTGGCAATCAAATGGCCAAAGAACTGAAAATATCTCAGCAAAGCAGTCAACGAATATTGAAAAAGGAGCTCAAGGTCAAGCCTTACAAGTTCCAAAAACCACACAATCTTACACCAAAGCAAAAAAAAAGTTCGGCTTGAAAGAACAAAGGAGTTGTTACGCCTGCACGAACGTGGCGAATTTCCGAACATAATGTTCTCTGATGAGAAAAATTTCCCTATTGAGCAGTTAATAAACTCTCAAAATGATTGTGTTTACTTGACCGAACGCACCTACGAAAGTTTGAGCTTACGAACGGCCACCTGAAGTAATTTCCCATCTCAAGTAATTGTATGGGCAGTTGTAACCGCCGATGGACGCTCTCCAATCGTTTTTATTGAATCTGGTATCAAAGTCAATGTAACTTATTATCGGGAAAATGTTTTAGAAGCTGCTTTAGAGCCGTGGGCACGCAAACATTTCGGTTGTAGACCATGGACGTTCCAACAAGACTCAACACATGGATGAAACATTAATAATGAAGGACATTTTGTAAAAAAGTTTGGCAAGATAAACAGATTAAAACTCGAACTGGTAAAGGTCTTTCTTTGATTGTCACTCATATTGGCAAATATATAAATATAAACAGATAATTCCATTGGAATCTGCTGACCACAATTAATTATTTCAGAATAGATAAATAGGTCTGAGTCTGCATTTGTTTATTAAATTCACTTCTATTCTCATTACTGTTTTGATAGTTCATATTAATTGTAATAAGAGCATTTTTATTAGTTTTAATAGTTTGGTAACACATTGTTTTAAATTTTGAAAATAAAGTTTTTAAAAACATAGTTTCCACGAAAATAAATTTAATTTGGAGGAGATAAAGGATTTGCTAGAATTTGTTTCAAACTCTGCAAATGACTAAAATGAAGAAATGACTTCAAGATATTTTTTACCAATCAATTCTGGCGTAGTTGTAGACAATGCCAGGTACAATTAAAGATTAAAGGAACTATTATCTGACGGTAACTGGAAAAGAAAGATCTCAGATTGATCAAAAAGCAAAAAAATAATGGCGGAAGAAGGAATGCTCAAAAGAGCTCTTAGAATAATGAAAATTGTATTCAAAAGAATTTTAGATGTTGGAAGGAAATGAATTAGCAAAAGAATGTGAAGTTAAAGAGGATTAAGAGTTTTTTGCCATTGTTCAAAAAGCTTCCTGCTATTACTTCATTACTAATATGGCTGTAGTAATATTTCTACCTGCAATAACTAGCTGGGGATATTACCTCACTGTTGATAGTAATATTTCATTTTTGCCTTGATATTGGAAGTATTTGTACTTGTTGAACTTGTGGGTTTTATACCTATTCATTAATAGGTAAATAGCAAATGTAAGAATAAAATTAAATGAAAAAATGCGTTAAAAGCAGAAAAATATGAGATAAAAGCCAAAGCATGAATCTTGAAACATGAAAACTTTTGTTCCATTTGGTAAAAATTGGTCACTTTCTACAATAAATGTAGGTGTTGTAATTCTTTTTATAAAATTCCTCTAATCGCGGTTGATACGTATATAAATTATTGTCCCTTGACATTCATTTTCGTATCACAGAATAACCTTACATAAATAAGCGATTTTTATAGCAAAATCGTGATAATATAGTCAGGGTCACAGGAAATTTCCATGCTGACTACTTAAACATCACACCTTTCAAAGGAAATCAAGAGTAGATATAAAATGTAGATAAACATATTAGCTAATTATAGAATTATAAAAAAAACTGGATGCCGGCTTCTCCAAAATCTTAAGTTTCTAGTTAGCTGAATGATCCGATATGAACTTAAAATAAACTTATTAACATTTTAAAATATTTTTCCGCATTAAATATTTTCAGATATGTGCCATATCAATGAATTTATTATTTATAAATGAGAGTAATGTGACAGACGCCATGAAGACAAACACGCCTTCCAGACTACCTCAAAGAAATTTGTCTAGAGGTATTTTTCCCGGCATTTTTCACATATTTCAATTAAAATCAAAGTAATCATTATTACATACAGTTCTTAAAGTGCTTTACAAGTAAATGGCCCATATATACCTACTATAGTGACTTGCAAGTTGGCATGGTCATGGTAGCGTAAAATAATTGCTCCTAGAATTATAAAAACGTGCTTTTCACTTACCTCGATAATGATTCTTCCAACGGGCTCGTTTTCAGCAGTCATGTCGAAATATACCCTGGGCAAACCCATTTTTTGGCTTAAGTTTCTGACCAAAGTACAGCTAAGAAAATTCACAAACTGCGAACTCACACCTCTACCGGCGAATGCGCTTTGTAAACCGGCTTGACGGGAAAAGACAAAGAAGGCCATCTTTAACGGAAGTGACGAAAGTTGGTTTGAATATCAGGAAAGAAGACTAATACGATTGTTAGACGTATATATTTGCAATTTTAAAATTTTGTAAATTATTTTTGATTTTTTTAGCAAAATAATAAAATAAACTATTCTTTAATTCGTAATTTATTTAAAAATAATTAAATTCCGACTGCTCCTTACCGGATATGATGCATTACGTAATAACCAATGCTATGCGGATGTGATTGGAGTGTGATCAGAATTCATATAGGAAATGTCGCTAATGTCAAATTATTTTTTATAAAAATAAAATTTTAGATTTTAAAATAAACAAATAATTCAGTTATAGGTAACTTTTATTTGCAATAATAAAAATATAATAAAAGGTTAAAATTACAATCTTATTTAAGAAGTTTGGAATAACGATATGTAAAATCACGGGTGATAAAATATAATATGAATGTTATTTATACTGTGATGAAACTAACAATTATTAGTATTACCGTAATACTAACTATGTACAAGTAAAAAAAATAATAAAATAATGGGTTAAAGGGATAGGTGATAATTATTTTTCACATTTATTATAGAAACAGTAATAAAATAATATTATGCCTTATGATAATAATAATATCGTGTATTTTAATGTAGAACGAATAGAGTTTTGTCTCTAAATAGGTTTTAAGTATCTGAAAATATTAATTTTAAAATATATATGCGGAAATGCGTAAAACAGTAAGTACCCAATGGAAGAAAATATGTACCCAATGAAAGAAAATAGTTGAAATAATTATAAAAGGGCAGTTAATAAAAATTTTATAAACAGATAGATTAGTAAAAACTATAGTATACATTGGGAGTATAAAATATTGGGCTGCCAATTTAAAAACATTCATCTGTAATTTATGTTCAATTGTGGAAACACAGCCACTTTCAACTTCCACTGTCGTATGTCAAAAATAAAACATAACGAAAGACGAAAGCAAAAGTGACGCAATCAAAGGAAGCGTTCAATTTTCAATTTCATATTTTGTAATTTGTTAATTTATATTGTGTTCGTCCTTCGGGGAAGATGAATAATAACATTGGATATAATAATAAAGCATGGGGGAGATCTAATCAGAACTCCGCCAACTTAATGAATCAAAATCAATTACAATCACAACCCACTGGTTTAGGAAACATGGTCCCGTTCCCCGGAAATCAACCACTCTTTCAAAATGCTATGGGAGTTCAACAGCAGAACCTGGGGCTAGGATTACAACAAATACATAATGCAATAACGGCTGCAGCTCCACTCGGCTCTCAAGTTGCTAATAACCCAATTTTCCAACAAGTATCTTACCCCAATAGAGGACTAAACCCTAAAGCTTTCCAGTCGAACATGTCATTGCAAAATAATCAGAATAATGGATCTGGAAGACAAAGAGTTTTCACTGGTAAGGTCACTCAGATGCACGATAACTTCGGTTTAGTTGATGAAGAAGTTGTTTTTCAAATGAATGTGTGTGTTATGGGCTCACGTCCTACTGTTGGAGATCGGGTACTAGTAGAAGCCCAGAATACCCCTAATATGCCTTTTAAGTGGAACGCTACTCGCATACAGGTTATAACAGGTATTTATATATTTCGTAACATGTATGCCAATTGAGTTTTTAACACATTCAAGACTAATGGTTTTTCCTGTTTGGCTTACTAAATGATATGTCCAATGTAGAATATAAGGCAAACAGCAAACTTCTATTTAAAATCTCCAACTAGTAAGGATAAAGTCAGTGTATATTGTGTCTGGAAAAGGAGTTCCCATCAAAAGGTTATTCCTTTAAAAATAACAAAAAAATAATATATCTAGGCACTTGAAAGACATATTGGAAACATGTTTTGTACAATTTATTTTATGTGGGAAACTGATTAAGGCTTGCCAGGGTTTTATCATTGTTTCCTTCGTCAAGAGGATAAAAACAATAACATTTGATAATGTTACATTATCAGATAATTTCTTGCAAGATTAGTCCATAGTAAAAAATCCGTAAAGGAATAGAAATACCTGAAAAGTATGTTTTTACACAACAAAAATGAGTTAGTATATGATTTATAAACAAAATAATACCAAATTGTGTATCAAAAAACATGTGGGAGATATTACAGCATATCAGATCATTTAGGGCTCCATAACGTAGAAAAAGACCCTTCAGAGAGACCCTTTTGATACTGCAATGCAAACATGGTTCACACAAGTCCCCTGTCCTTTATGTAACAAATATTTCGTATAACATTTCGTGAAGCAAAAGCTGAGGAATTATGAAGAGCAAATGAAATAAAATGTTTATGTAATTAAAAGTAATAGCAACATTTAAAGAGAATTAAACATGAAAGAAGTATGAAGAAAATTGTATCAAAATAATTATTTTGAATATAATTTGTTTTAAAAATATTGTATAAATGCATCAAATAGTGCATTTTAGTTGTAAAACCCTTAGTTTAAAGAAGTCATCTACAGTATCGCACCACTAAGAGTACACCTAGCTTGGGTTATTAAGTACCCTACATTTTTTTTAATTCTAATAAAATGAGAAATGTATGTATGTATAATGTCTCTATTAACCATCAATTCATTTTGTTTGAGCATTACGATAAGCCAAATGAAATTCGTTGAAATGTACAAGTGCAGTTATGCCACCATCGCATTTTTTATGTAAATAATTTTTGTTCTTATTCAGGGCTCTGGATTAAATTTTAATTTAAATAGGTGATGATAAATCATACTGTGCTTTTAGAGTTCTATTTTTAGAATCGCAAGCCAAAAACACTTGCTGTATTGTCTGAAAAATATGTACCTGGATTTAAAACGCAAAAGCAATGAATCACAGCAATTATGTGTTCAAATGCGAGTGGTCACCATCGCCTTTCTTTATTGAATGGTACAGCAAAAAAAACATGTTGTCTCAAGGGCATAAATATAAACACGCTTTCCATTAACTACTACGCACAACATAATGCATGGATGTCCCAGGAAATATTCGCTGACTGGTTTAAAAAGATATGTAAATTTTACTTGCGAGAAAAAAATTTGCCACCAAAGGCGATTCTCATTTTGGACAATACTGCCCATCCTGAAGTTGGTATGCTGCGAAGTGACGATGGAAATATCACATGCTCTTTTTTGCCTGCAAATACAACATCATTGATACAGCCAATGGATCAATCAGTTATGGAAGAGGAATATTATTTGCCAGAATACTGGAAAGCATACAATTTAAAACACGCAGTCGACAATGCTGAGGATGCTTGGGCTGATGTTTCGGAAGTAATGGTGAAAAGAGTGTGGAATCAATTATGGCCTAAATCAACTCAAGATGAAAATGATAATCAAGGTTTCACTGTAAAATGTAATATCTATTTCAGCCCAAAAAGCAGTTGCCATCAAGTGATCTTGGCCTTCTTCAGTTTTCAGTTTTAGATGTACATGATTCTGAACTTCCATGTTGTATAAACGATTTTGTTGATATGTTGGGTAGCGATTCTGGGCCACCTGGTTGTTCAACATTATACACACACTACAACAATGAAGAAATTTAATTTCTCAAAATACCATACAATTATATATTATTGACCCATAACAATTTTTTTATTGACATAAATTTTGACCATCAACTGATCTTTTAATATTAAATACATTTAAATAAAACTAATATTCAAACATGGCTCAATTCATGGTAAGTTACATGACAATATCGCTACATTAGTTCAACTGAAGCATCAACATTTTGGACGATTTTTACGAATTTGCTCAGAAGGAAATTACCAAAAGAATTCTCTACGTAAAACACTACTAGGACTATTGTATCCTAGATGCACAATCAAATATTTTTAAATGCTTATACAAGATTGTTGTTTTCACATCCCGTCATAATGTGATCAGAAAAGAATTTATACATGTTTTAATAATACAAATGAAAATCAAACAAATCCATCGTCGTAAATTCAACACGATCCTTTTCAGGTTCCCAATCTAGAAGCTATGGCAACAGTAACTATGTACCCCAATCTGATAGAAGACGAAGAGATGGTAAGGGCAGAGACAGATCTAGAGATAGAGACAGGGACGACGACGAAGTAGATAGAAAGAGGAGGAGGGAGGATAGGGTTAGAGAAAGGGAAAGAGATGACAGGAAATCTCCATTGAGGAAACGATCCAAGTCCCGCTCAAGATCCCCAAAGGGTGTAAGAAGGAGGCCAAGGATTATTCCGAGATATATGGTTCAGATCCCTAAAATCAATTTGGATTTGTGAGTAATATATATTTGTATTTTATATCAGTTTGATTAGCAAGTAAGCCTGCAGGGATCATCGGCATCCATGCATTCACACTTCTTTACTTGACATTTTGTATGTTGATAATATACATGACTTTAAACATTTTGTTTAATTATAAGACAACACCCAGTATATAATTGACTGGATAATGTTTTTAAAATATATAAAATAATAATTTAAAATCCTAATTACAGGGATAGTGGTGATGTTCTTGAAATTAAAAGAAGGTATAAGAACATGTACATCCCTTCAGATTTCTTCTTCACCAGCATAAAGTGGGTCGATTCCTTTCCTGCCGACAAACCATTCGCTATAAACAAACCTTGCTCATTCCATGTGATGCATAAAGATGTGGACCCAATAATTGAAAATCGTTCCTCAGATCCACCAGATGCCGACTATCTCTTCTCCGCAAAAGTGATGCTGATGAGTACCCCCGGACTGGAGGAAATCTACCATAGGTGCTGCGCTCTCGCTGACGATAAAGACAATGACGACAAAGACTATGTGCACCCTACCAGACTGATCGACTTCTTGATCGGTCTCAGGGGAAAGAATGAAACTATGGCTATAGGGGGTGCTTGGAGTCCGTCCCTAGATGGTGAGAACCCAAAAGAGGATCCCACTGTGTTGATCAGAACCGCTATTAGGACTTGTAAAAGTCTGACAGGTATCGACCTGTCTAATTGTACCCAATGGTAAGTCATTGATTGTTTTCTTTTGTTAATTGGATTCTTAGGATCTTGATTTTGTAAAAGAAATCTGGATTTTTAAGATATACTGGTTTTATTTCCTTTTTTATACCAATAGTTTGTTTTAATTTTTTTAACTTATTAATAATTAACCAACAAACAATTAACACAATTGCAAACAGTGGTAGATACATTGTTTTCCGGGTTTATAGGTTGTCGTCTGGCATTATTTCTTTCTGGTTGTGGCTTGAAACTTCACAGATGAAAAGTAAGGATAATGTAATTTCAGACTGTGGAATATAGGCCTGGAAAACAATTTATTATTACAAAATTAAGTCGTAAAAAGCTAATACACCTTCATTTATATTTATTTTTATATGTATAGTTGGAGAGACATAAAAAGATGTGAATTTTTTGTGATCTAGACATACATATCTTTATTCTTAATGACATAAAAACAAAAAAAGTGGTAGAAATCTAATTCTTTCACATTTTGTTGTCTATTGTTCGCTATGTGAGAATAACATAGGGCCATATTCTGCATTTCATGTTCTTCAAGGCTTCTCGATCTTCTGCAATAAGGAATAATTGTCCCACATTTGACATCATTCACGAATGCTCTTCAACCAAGAAACCTGTTTCCTTCCTACACCTTTACGGCCATCTATTTTGCCTTGAAGGTTCAGTTGTAATATTTTATATCGACTTCCCCTTACTATTTTTTTTAACCTATCCTCTATCCTTCCATTGTTGGATATAGGTCTCCCCCAGTTCTCTCCATCTTTCCCTATCTTGAGCTGTTCTCTGCCCCTTACTATATGTCCCAGATAAGACATTTTTCGATGTTTAACAGTCTTTAGCAGTTCTTTATTTTTGTTGACGGTCCTTAGTTCTTCCTCATTAGTTTTCCTTGCTATCCAAGGTATCTTCAGCATTCCTCTATGAACCCACATTTCCAATGCTTCAATTTTGTTCATGATCGATACTTTTAGCGTTCACACTTCTGCACTATACAAAAGTATTTCATTGGTGTAGTTATCTCCAATTTTTACGATAGCAGTTTGACTCCAGTACAAATTTTTAATTTCACGAATATCCTTGTCATCTATTCCGATATTTTTCAGTATTTGCATTAATTTTACATGTTGTCCTTTATCGAATGCCTTTTCGAAGTCCATCAAACATACAAATACATATTTTGTTTGGTCACAGCATTTTTGTAATAGGATGTTAAGCGCAAAAAGTGCATTTCTAAAACCAAATTGGGTATCTTCGAGATCGTCTTCGCATTTGCGTCTAATTGTGTTGTGAAGTATTATTAGGAAAATTTGTAAGAGTGTGGCTCATTAGGCTATCATATATATTCCATTTTTTCTGTCTATTCATTTATACAATGTTTATTACATTGTCTTTTGATTTTTTCACTTCTTGTAATTCTTCTCAATATTCCAATCTCTGCCTTTTCCAGATGCCTTTGTCTGATTATCAAGTTTGATTTTCTGATGCATACATGATTGGTTTGATACTGGCGTTATAAATTCTTTATCTGTTGTTTTCACTATATAGTGCTAAGGCATCCTGCTAGTTTATGTACTTGATGCCAGTATCACTTCTCTCTCCAGGTATCCATATATGGAATAGGCTCTAACCTGTCATTTAGACCAGTAGTTTAATTCGACATTTTTTGTGATCTAGTAAAGACACGAATCTGACTTTATTTTTATTGGTATTGTACTTAAGCTATTATAGTGCAAAATTTATTAAATGTGTTTTAAGTGTGTTTTTCGACAAAAATTAGATAATTTTAACATAAACTAACCATTTTTTCAGTTTATTTTTGCATAATTCATGAAATTATTCAAAATAAATTGGAAGTAGTAGGCATTTTAATCCTTTTTTGCAAATTAATATTCATATTTATATATGTACTAGTTATTGTATATTTTCTTGTTTATGAAATTTTCTCAGTTTTTGGTGTTGTTTCTCCATATGTATCTTTTTATTTTATTTTTGAACGCATCTTTAAGTTTTCTTTTTTGAGTTGTTCTGGAAGAAGTAAAGAAAGCATTCTTCTTCTAAATGTGCCTATCTTCTAGAGATCTAGGTTGCAATATTAAGTATCCTTAATATTGCAGCCAAAATAGCATATTTTTTCCACCCTTTCTAACGGTGTATCGTTAATTGTAATTTGGTAATTGTAATTTAATTCTTACAATTAAGAAAGCATTAAAAAATAGAAAATCATCAGGAGGGGACAGAATACCGAACGAACAATTCAATTTTTGTTTTTGTTTTTTCTTTCTGTATTTTTATTTTGATCTTGTACCTTGTTCTTTATTTGATGTTCTTTTTTGTTTCCCATTAGGAATTTCTCATCCTTTCTCTTTTCTTTGTTTCTTTTTATCAAGTTTTTTTAACTAAGCTTTGTTGGATTCTTAATATACTTGTTTATATTTTGATTTTTCTGGAATCATTGTTTTTATGCTTATTTCTTAGGTTACTGTTTTCTTGAGCTGTTTTTCCTTTTTTTTAATTCAATTTTTGTTTATCCTGTCTTTTTCTTGCTTTTTTACTGGTTCTATTTTCGTTCTTTGTTTGCTTATTTATTTATTTTTCCTTACCCTTTTTATTTTTCTTACTTGTTTTTGTTTTGTCTCTACTGTTTTTTTTTTGCAGATTGTTTCTGTTTAGTAAGAATTTCCCTTCATTTCCTTTTTTCTGTTTGTATATCGTTTTTACTGTTTGCATATTTCTATATCTTCTTGATTTTACGTTATTGATTCTACGTAAATGTTGTAAATCCTGAGTGGCTACTCCATCAATTGTGAATATCATAGGGGTGTTCTGCATTAGTCCTTTTTTGTACTGTCCTTTACAAGAACGTGTGGGGTGGTTCACAAAAATGGCGTCCAACGTGGGGACTGATACAAAAACGACACATTCTGGTCATTTTGGATTTTTTGTTGAATATCTGCATCATGTCCCATATTTATTTATTTTATTTGTTTGTTTTTGTTAATTTGCTTTTTTTGGTGTCGTATTTATGAATTTATATATATTTTTAAGTTTTCTGTTTTATTTTTTATTGTGTTTATTTATTTCTGATTTTCTATAGATACTCTTATTATCTTTATCTGTTTCTGAAGGTTCTAAACTTCTTATGTTGTTTTTGTTTGTTTCGTATGACGCTCTCTTTCCACTTTCTTACTTCAGCCTTCACTTACTTCAGCCAGTTGCAACTCTAGGATGTGGATAGGATTAACAATTAAGAAGAACTCGGGGAGTCAGTTCTCCTTTCACTGTCACTGACTTTTTATCCATACAATAGTGTTATTTTTATGATGCTAATGTATTTGAGGTGTCACCTCGTCGGCAAAAATGAATTGGGGCTCCAGATTAGCCTCGTGTGCTCCGCAAAGGATTTCGACCATCAGGTGTTGCCAACCTTTGCTTTTGTTCTGCCAATTTGTGGTCATTGTGCTCTATTATAAGTAGTCTTGAAGTACTCTCTATTTTTACATTAAAATGGTGAAGATAACAGCAACCAGCTGCAGACTCTAAGATGCTGGATGATTTGGCTATCAGTGTAGATGACTCTATTTGGGAGCCCAAGAAAGACTAGATAATAATAAACGAAAAAATTAAACATTTTCTTCATTTCTTCTCAATATATAATAATATATCATTTTCTTGAATCTCTTAGGCGATCGTTTTGCTTCTGTACAGCTTACTTTGTGGAAAGACATCCTCTTTGAATACTTGATCTAAATACTGCTGGGGTCCTGAAAGTATGTTGCTCTAGCTACTATTTTTCCTGTTTGGTTTCTTCAAAAATAACTTGGATACACCCTGATTAGATGCTCACTATGTTTTTTGTGATGTATTATCTGCAACCTGCTTCTGGTGAGGATATTTCTGGTCTTTACAATTCTTCTTTTTGTTTGGTGGTAGACATTATTGATTTTCTTCATGGCCACCTCTCTCAGTTGTGTGTACTGGAGCTTCGATTAGTCTGTATGTAGCACGCTGTTTCTGTTTTTATCAGCTTCATCCAGTTGGTCTCTGCCGTGGAACACCATGCTGGGACTGCATATAACATCAGCGCTCTGACATAACTGAATCTTTTTTGTCTGCGATAGAGGATTGGTCTCGAATATGTAGGGTTGTGTTAATTTCTTTGAACTATGGAGTCGCCTGGAGAATAATGCAGAATCTGTGACTGTGCTAGATGATATGATCAACAATTACAGATATTTACTGCAATTAATATTTGAAATATTAGCGACAGGGTTACCTCTTGTGTTTTAGGCCCTGTATTCGCACTTATTACTAAGTACTGAGAACCATTGTATGTGATTAGGTTCCACAGTCACAAATATGTGTGCTTGGAATGAAGGAAAGGTAAAGAAAAGGGTTATGAGTTTTTAATTCGAATAAAAACATAAAAAGTAGGTGGAATCGCAACTCGTCTGAGTCCTGTAAGACGGACAGAGTCGGAGTCAGACTCTCTGATGTCCAGAAGTAAACTCCTTTTGACTTTCAATTCATATATTCACACAATGGACAATGGTAGATGTGTTTAGCTCAAAAGATGCAGTCGTAACAGCGCCTTATAGAATTTGCAACGACAGTAGATAATCTATTTTTTATTTTTTTTTTTCAAATTATTAAATTTAGCCCATAAAGACAGTTGTGTGTGTGTGTGTGTGTGTGTGGAGAGTGAGAGAGTGAGAGAGAGTGAGTGAGAGAGAGAGAGAGAGAGAGAGAGAGAGAGAGAGAGAGCAGAGAGAGAGAGAGAAGGAGAGAGAGAGCAGAGAGAGAGAAGAGAGATAGCGAGAGAGAAGAGAGAGAGATAGCGCGAGAGAGAGAAGGAGAGAGAGAAGGAGAGAGAGAAGGAGAGAGAGAGGAGAGAGAGAGAGAGAGAGAGAGAGAGAGAGATGGTATTAGACAAAGAATCTTTTTGCCACAGAAAATTTTTATAAGCATGTTTCATAAAGACAGTTATATTAGTAATTAAATGGTAATAAATTTAATGTAGAATAAAATAAATTAGAGAAAAATTCTTGTAACACATAAATATTGTTGAATCTCTCAACAATGCACGTTTTTATATAAAATTCTTGCGAGGTAATTTTTGTTGCCTCTATTGGTATTAAAAGGGCAAATAAACTGCTATCTTGTTGATACTATATATTCCATTAGGTATCGTTTCTTGGAGCTGTATTATCGACGGAGTGAGTCTACTTACAAGGGGAAGACCATCCCTGCCCGTGTCGAGACCGTCGTACTGTTTCTGCCGGATGTCTGGAGCTGCTTGCCTACCAGGGTGGAGTGGGACGATCTGCAGAACTCATACAAAAAGCAATGCGAACGAATCTTGACGCAACCTGAGACTGCCGCTGTTGATGCTGACGATGGCGCTGGTGCTGCTGAGAGCGGTGGTAGTGGGGATCCTGCTTCCCGAATTGCAGATTCCAGTGGGGATCAGTCGTCACCAGCTGATGAAAAGGCACCTGAACCGTTCCTTTTTAACTATTTATGTATATTGGTGGCTTATCTTGAGATGACGTTGTTTGGTAGGGCATTTAATAATTTTTAACTGCTAAGAGACTTGGTAATTGTTATTTATTGAGTTATTGGTGATTGGATTCGCTAATTTTACTGTAATTAAAACAATTTATCAAAAATAAACATAAAGATAGAATGTCTTAATAGTAAGTAAGTACATACCACAATTTGGTGTGGACATTATTTATTTAATGTCACTTTTTGTTAACAATATCTTTTAAAATATCAATATTAATCACCTTTACAGACATTTACCACTTACCTGTTTTACACCAGTTCTTTTTTGCTTTTTTATGTGTTAGATTAAAAAATCATGTGTTAGACACCAAAAATTGACTCAAAGAACATTTCAGTGTTCGTTTTACATGTATAGATGAAAAAATCTTTTTATATTTATGATAAATTTTATGATTTATGTTGGTAGATGATCAGAGCCAGCTGATTGGTAGTAAATGGGTCGTTTTGTGCCTACACTGTGAACTCGTAATATTGTTTGTGTATATCTCTAAAGGACTGTATTGGCTGCATCGTTAACTTAGTTGCAATTGAACCTAACTCTTACAGAGTTAGCGACAACGATCGGCATAAAACGCTCCTTGAATCAGCTATAAATCACGATTTGAAGCTAGTTGAATTTGGTAAGTAGGAAAAGGATGTGATGGGTCTTAGAATCTATGGTTGAAGGATTCCAAAATATCAAATTCTCCTTCTTAAAAACATACATGAAACCAGGTAAATGTATTCATTCCTCTGTTCTACTAGTGGAAAACATGAAAAGAAAACTTGTCTTCAAGTTTATGATCAGCCTACCATTAAGCTGAAGAATAATAATTGAATTATTTTAAACAGAAACTAATTTTGACATTTGACAGTCATGTCAAGACCTTGGGCAATTTTTTGCGACCACTCAGAATGATTTTTAATTTTTATAAAGTCACTCAATAAATTTGTTCTTTTTGTTGGAACTATGAAAGATACAACAAGTAAAAATATAGTTGCAATTTTTTTAAGTAGTAAAATAGAAACCAACCATCAATATTCTAAATAACTGTTATATTCAGTATTTTTTAGCGTTGTAATATGCCCCAAACGCCGTCATCGAAAGCTAGGTAAAGACTCTGAGCTGTGGCTCGAAACGGCCAAAGAACGCAGATGTCTGAACATAGTATAGGTGTGTGATAGGTTGCGAATGGAAACAATTTGACTGGAGATGCGAATGTGTCCGTCGAGTATCTCGTTCGAACATTTTTTTTATATCATTTTTGTTTCTATAGGAAGACGAAGCGAGTTCTGATAAATTGGAACCTACGCATCATTCTCAACTGGATCCTAAGACTATGGTCGTTAATGATTTAAGGACCGAGCTAACGGCAAGAGGTTTGAGCGCTAAAGGGCTGAAATCGCAATTGGTAGCTAGGTTGATGAAAGCTTTAGCGTCAGAAGCCGAAAAGAGTGAAGCGAAAGAGAAAGAAACGAAAGAAGTCGAATCTGAATCGGAAACTTCCGTAGTAGAAGTTAAAAAAGAGGTAAGCGGTTTTTTAAACCTACATAAAGCGGAGAGAGTGTCGCATACTTAATTTTTCGCATAATTTTTCTTGAATTGCAGGTGGAAGAGAAAAAAATGGACGATAAGGAAAAGGCACTACTGGAAAGACGCCACACGTTACCGGAGCATCCCCAAATAATAGTCCATCCGTCGAAAACGGCCAAATCCGGCAAATTCGAATGTACTACGATGTCCTTGTCGCTCTTGCTAGACTACAGACCCGAGGACTCAAAAGAACATTCGTTTGAAGTGTCCCTATTTGCAGAACTGTTCAACGAAATGTTAAGCAGAGATTTCGGTTTTAACATCTATAAATCGCTGTACGAATTACCTGAAAAGAAGGAAGAGAAGAAAGATAAAAAGGAGAGCGAAGGTAAGGAAGAGAAGAAAGACGATAAGGCTGAAGTAAGGAAGGCGGTGACAGTGAGGAGAAAGCAACGAAGTTGGAAGAAGTCGGTGATACAGCAGAGAAAAAAGAAGACGACAAGAAGGATAAGACATCAAATGGAGATAAGAAAAAGGAGGAATCTGACGATGATAGTGAAAAAAGAAAGGAGCGGGAAAGGAAGAAGAAAGAAAAGATAAAATTGTACACCAAAGACAAACATTTGTTGCTCTCGTTCGTTTATTTTGACCAGACACAATGTGGATATATATTTGACAAGGATGTAGAGGACTTGATATACACTTTAGGCTTGAAACAGTCCAGAGCACAAATCAAAAAGATGATCAGCAAAGTTATCGTCAGAGATTCCTTGCATTACAGAAAATTAACCGATAAACCGAAAAACGCCGAAGATGAATCTGCAGAAGAACCGCCTAAAGAACTAGATTTGGCCGAAATTGCTCAGGGAAATAAGAAGCTACTGCCGGTATTTGGTGCTAAAGAATCGAATGAAAAGGTGTCCAAACGCCGCACGACAGGTGCTCTAGAAACTACAGATGGTAAGTAGTATTTTCAGTTTTACTATATTTTACACCCAATAAAGCTAAAACAACTAAAAAAGCTAAAAGCTAATGCAGCTGACTTCTTGCGGAAAACATTTGTAGATGTCAACAATTCAGAGCAAATATGTCATTGTTTTTTGTTTTTGTCACTGCCGATTGGTGACTTATCTCTTGCTATTTTGACGGCACGGATCTCCTCCATTCTGCTTATGGGGTTATTCCATTCTTTTTTGTAGATTCCATTTTCTTCTAATGTCTTCACTATTTTCATTACTTGTTCAATACTGATGCCATCAATTTCTATTTTACATCTGGTTGGCTCTTTGCTGACTACTATTATTTTAGTTTTCTGAGATGAGATTGTCATATTAAATTCTTTTGCTTTTTGTCAGGCCGTGGAGTTTAGGGGTCTACATTGTAAAAATGACATGCACCATATCCTCCATACTATGGCATGCTGGACGAGCCATACAGTCTGTAGTCGACACCCCGAGGTATGAGCGGGAATACAAAGTGTACCAATACTCATACGCTTATGAAACGCACCTGGCGGATCATAGGGGCCTTCACATTTTGCTCTTTTTAAACGTGTCGAGTGAAATGGCTTTAATCTTTCCTATCGGCCTCTTCTTTTTCCGACCCCGAGTGGCTATTAGGGTAATCCGAGGGCGGGCGGGTCACTATAATTCTCCTGGTCCTCCTGGTAGGGGGGTTGGGACGTAGGGCCTGCTCCTCTACACCCGTGAAAAAACTTACCGCAAAAAATTCTAAAATCCAGCCTCGGAATACGGATGGGAAAAAACAACGAAAAGTTAGACGAAGTCATGGCAGAAGTAAAGAAAATCAGATATCACGGTTCTTTCCAAAACAAAGAAAAAAGGTCAAGGTAGTGAAGACATGGGAGGCTTTATACATATTTATAGTGGAGTAGAGAAAGACAAAAGAGCACAAGCAGGGGTATCAATATTGATAAAAAAAGACTTAAAAGGAAACCTGAAAAGCTGGGAGCAGATCAATGAGAGAATTATTAGAGTATCTATTACATGGAAAGGGCACGACCTCGAGATCATTGGAATATATGCTTCGTCAGAAAATGCATTAAAAGCAGCTAAACAAATATTCTACGAAACTTTATCGGAACTCATTGAAAATATAAATAGCCGCAAAGAAATTGTTTTGTTGGGAGATTTTAACGCTTGGACAGGAACAAAAACAAATGACAAAGTCGTAGGAAAATATGGTGACGCTAAAACAAATTAAAAATGGGGAACACTTAATCGAATTCTGTGAACAACACTCTCTTAAAATCCTAAACGGATTCTACCAACATAAAAACATACATAAGTACACCTGGGTTCAACCAACGAGAAACTCAAAGTCAATTATAGATTATGTCATTACAAAACAAGAAACACACATACAAGTTGAAAGCATAAGAGTATTAAGAGGACCGGAGTGCGGAACTGACCACTATATGGTAAGATCAAAATGTTACCTACAGTATCGACCTCGGCTACTACATCAAAATGACAACCAACTAGCTCAATCAAAACCCCTGGAATCGAATCTACCTAAATACAATATTGATGCACTGCAAAACGACTCGACATCATTCTTATATAAGCTGCGACTTAGCCAAAAATTGGCAAACCTGATCTACTCCTCAGCCCAGAATACCTATAAAGAGATAATCAATAAAATCAATGAAGCAGCTTACGAAGCGCTCGGCACAATCCAAAAGAACAAAAAGAATACTCCATTGTGGTGGACAAATGACATCGCCAATGCAGTACACAACAAGAAACAAACATATCAAAAGTGGCTGCAAACAAATTAACCAGATGATAGACGAACATATGCAAGATCAAACAGAGAAGTAAAAAATTTAGTAACTAAAGCAAAAAATATTTCCTGGGAAAGTAAATGCGAAGAACTCAACAAATATATAGGGTCCACAAGATCAAGAGAAGCATGGAAAACGGTAAAAAATCTGAGAACAAACAGAAAAGAAACGAGTAGAATAGATTTAATAGAAGAAAGATCTTGGATCGAACACTACTCACAACTTTTGACTGAAACAAGACCTCAATTCACGAACATCAGTACAACAACATATGAACTGGAATTCAGTGAAGACGATGAAATAACAGTACAGGAAGTCGAGAATGCAATACGAACTCTAAAAAATCGGAAGTCATGCGGACCACAAGGTATACCAAATGAATTATTAAAACATAGCCCACAAGTATTACGGGAATTACTGGCGTATGTCTTCACCTTATTCTATAAAGGACACGACTTACCACCGGAGTGGACAAAAGCACATATTAACAACATCTACAAAAAAGGAGATAGAAAGAATTGTTCAAACTACAGGGGGCTAAGTGTCATAAATTCACTCTCAAGACTGTATGGAAAAATAATAAAAAAATAAAATGGAAAAAGAGATGACAGATGTAGAAGAACAGAATGGCTTTCGTGCAGGCAGATCCTGTATGGACAGTATATTCTCTCTAAAGCAAGTTATCGAGAAAAGATTAGCCCACAACCTTTCAACTCATATAGTCTTTATAGATCTGACAAAGGCATACGATAGTGTACCACTTTCAATGCTTTGGGTAGCAATGGAAAAACAAGGAATAAGCAAAAAAAATATACAAGCAGTACAACAGCTCTACAAAAATATGACGGCAAACATTAAAACTGGAAATAGATTAACTAGAGAAATTCCTATTAGTAAGGGCCTAAAGCAAGGCTGCTGCATAGCACCTACACTCTTCAAAATATATCTAAATGAGGCACTTTCACTGAAGAGAAGAAAGTGCTGCAATATGGGCATCCCAATCGGAGATGATAGATTGTACACGATACACTTCGCTGACGACCAAGCCATTCTAGCTGAAGACGAGAGTGATGTAGGCTACATGCTTAGAAAACTGGAAGATGAGAACACCAAATGGGGCCTCACAATTAATATACAAAAAACTGAGTACTTAGTTGTAAGAGAAAAACCAGAAAGCCTACAAATCGAAATGGGAACTATAAAACCAACAGACAATTTTAAATACTTGGGAGTCCAAATAACATCAAAAGCAGGAAGTAGCGAAGAATTTCCAGGAATGGCCAAGCAAGATCAGCCACCAGACAGCTACACGGACTATTATGGAATAAAAAAATAACAAAAGAAAATAAAAGAAGAATTTATAAAACAATAATAGAAAGTATTGGGCTGTACGGCGCCGAACTCTGGGAAATAAACCAAAGAAACCAATCAAAAATTAAGGCCATGGAAATGAACTACTGGAGACGATGTTGCCAGCTCACTAGACTTGATAGGGTGAGAAACGAAGATATTCGGAGAGAGATGGAAATCGATCTAGACATAATAGTCACAATCGAAGCCAAAATACTTAACTGGTATGGACACCTTCAGAGAATGCCTGAAAATAGATGGCCAAAAAAATAGAAGAATGGACTCCGCCAACTAGAAGAAAACGAGGTAGACCAAGACGATCCTGGAGAGACGATGTCGACGATGCAATGACCGCCAGAGATCTAACAACTGAAGATTGCTTCGACAGAAAAAGCTGGAAATTAGGATGCGAGAAGCGGAGCCAGCTGTAGAAGACTCGCTTGTTGTATGTATTAATTATTTTGCTGTGTTAAATCTGTAAACTAGTCTTTGCAGATTATCTTCATCTTGGGCTATCAATATTGCGTCGTTGCTAGAGTCTTTTTATTTCTTTGATTCTCATTCTGTATCCTCTTCCTGTGTTCACGCTTTTGATGATTTCATCCATGATCAAATTGGAGAGCAATGAATCCTCTTATCTTATTTCGCTGCCTATTTCTATAGATTCTGTAAGATATCCATCTATTCTGACTTCCATTTTATTGTTTTTAGTAGATGTTTTCGATAGTTTTTATAATATTTAGGAGAACTGAATACCTTGTGTTTTTGTAGGTTTTGTGAAGTTCAGAGGTTCTGTCGTAGATGTAGGTAAACTATTGAACCAACTGGAAAGAAGCGAGCAAGTGAGAGTCGACACAGAAGCAAGAATGATCGATTTAAAAAATGAAAATCAAAAGCTTACCGAAAAATACCATAAGTCCAATTCCACTATTAAGCAACTGACGTCAGAACTGCGCGAAAACAAAGACAAACTGCGCAACGCCAACGATGTCCTCAGCAAGACTAATGTAAGTACTCGCAATTTTTGTTTTTTTCTATTACCTTTGTTCCTCTATTTCTTTTCTTTACTTTCATTCATATTTGTATTTGTATTTCGTGCCATAACCATTGTAGAGAATCCCAGTGGCTTTTAATATATTTAGCTTTACTTTTTTTCTTATCTGTTATAGTAATCATTATTAAATGCCTTTCAGACCCATTCGAAATTGTATTATCAAACGTTGCTCGACATCAAGGACAAAATCGATCCCATTCTAAGAACCTCGCACAAAGAGGAAACAAAGAAAGAAAGAGACGAGAAGGACCGAGACAGAAAACAAGACGACGGAAAGTCTAGATGGGAGAAGGATAAGGATCATGCGCATAGCAAAAAGGAGGATAAAGAGGAGATAAAGAAGGAAAAAGAAAAAGAAAAGGAGAGCGAGAAAGAAAAGGAGGACGGTGACGTGGAAATGATTGAAGCGAAAAAGGAAAAAGACTAAAAACTTGGTTTGTTATTTTATGATTAATTTTAATATGTGTAATTTTTCAATTTACTGTGACATTTTGGGTTAAAAAACAATAAAACATCATTTAATCAAAATTTTGTTTTATTTATTTGACTTTTTCGTATAAAATCTATAATTTACCTTTAAAAAACAAAAAAAAGGGGGAACAGACGAGAGAAGGGCCTCTGCACAAAACATGAAGGGAAATCTAAGTGGGAGAAGAAAACAATCATGCGCAGAATAAAAATGAAGAATTAAAAAGAGAAAAGAGTAAAATAAAGAAGAGATCAAAAAGACAAGGGTAACCGCAATGTGGAGATTATTGAAAAAGGTGAGAAAAGGTTTGTTGTATCCTGAATATATAACATTTTTCAATTTATTTAGATATTTCATCTTAAAAAAACAAAAGAAACGGCATTGTATTTTACTTCTTACAAAATCCTTTATTTACCTTTTAAAAACTTAAATAATACAAAAAATGAAGTTAAAGAAATTGAGTTAGCCTCTACACACTGGTGTATAGTGGGTTGCATAAGGAGGGCGAGCTCATAACAGCATCCGTTAGACAGCGTGGTTAATAAAGACAAATGTAAAGATTAAATGTGGTTTTTCCAATTCCTAAATGACTGTAATGTAACCTGTCTAAAATCTCCCTACGAAAAATTTTAGGAATTATAATATGTTCTCTAAACAGTACCCTTTTCATTTCTGATATCTGGTCTCTAAAATTCCAATATGGTTTTATTATTTCATGCAGTTTATTTTTCTAATGGCCATCCTGCTTATAACTTCATCTAATTTACATACCGATGCACGTCATTATCTACGTCAGAGATCGAAGTTGACATAGTTGCCAAAGTATACAAAAATACTCCATTTTAAATCAAATAGATCACATAATTATTGCAAAAGTATTACTATCTCTTTACAACGACTATTTAAATTCTTATGTGACATTTTTGAAATAAAACACATTAATTTTGTTCTAAAAAGAACAGATTTTATTAAATTAAAAAGTAAAAATATAAAACAAGAGGTATTCACTTTAAAATTCAAAATAATAAAGTACAAAAAGTGTCAACACCGCAACTGTCAAATGTTTGATTACAGTTACAGTGTGTTCCGAACAAATGTTCTTTATAAAAACGCTTTATAATGCATTTATATAAATTAAATGAAACATATTGTGTATTTCTTCAAGTTAACATTAATAGAAATCTTTAAATATTATTTCTACGTGTATATAATAAAATATGTCTAGTGGCTGTAATGCCAGTGTACTCGGCAAAGTGATTCTAAAAAAAAACACCTACCGCCTAAATATTTCGTGTTGGTATCATGTGACGTCACGGGCTATGACGCCGATGACGTGAATCGGTATGTAAATTAGATAAAGTGTGCTTTTGATAACTCTCTTAATTCTAAAGCCTGTTTTGATTAGGGTTGTGGACAAAAAAAAATAGACTTAAATCAGATATTTTATTAAGAAAATCAATATTTTTTTAACAATAACAAATAAAGAATAACGGGAATTCATGAAATTATTGCGATCTGTACAATTTATATTAGAAATAAAATGATTATACTAAATAAAAACGAGTTGCCAAACGTACCTTAGTGTAGTAAATATCGACTTAAACGTTCAATCTTCGTGACGCGTTAGTGCGTCATAGATTCTGTTATAATTATGTGTTTGAACGCACACGTGCGCTATCTACAATTAGATACTAAACGTCCGCGAAAAAGCAATCAGGATTCAAATAGTTAATAGATAAATCAATTATTTATTGACAGTTTAGATGAAAGATTTTCAAAGATAAAGACTACAGAATTTTAAGTAGTATCAGTTGAAACGAGATTATAAATTTTAAACCCGCATACACAATAGATTAAGGGCAGGTTGTTCAAACGCTAATCAAGACTTGATTGTAATCAAATATTTAAGTCAAGTATCTCACAGCAGCTGTCAAAATTATTAAAAATTGCTTATTATTATTATTGATTTGTAAATAAAAACACGCAATTAACATCAGAAAGAGTTCAATTATGGTTTATTTTAAATTAAAACGCAAAATCATAAAATTGAATAAAATAAAACAGTCAACATAACCTCAAATGTGACGTATTTGATTTTAATTAAATATCTGAGTTTTGATTAGCGTTCGAACAACCGGCCCTATATCTATGAGACAGATGATAATCACTAGGGATCAAATAAGAAGAATATGACGATCGAGGCACGATAAATTACTTTCGTAGACTGAAATCGCAGAGTTACTTAGTAAAGATGATGGTCGTTGAGTTTATTACTACTTTGTTATAGTTCATAGATGACTTTTCTAAGTATAATATAGCGTAGCTATAGGCAATTGGAGAGTTCTAGGATATAATGAATGAGCACATACATCGAGTAAGTCGATTTTCCCGCGAAATCCATTCAAAGCCGATGACCCAATTTGAATTTTATACTAAAACCTTTAAAAAATTCTGGCTAGAGTATGACACATACCTACTACAATGTGCAAGCTTTTTTGTTTACAATATATGATATATTAACTAAAAAACTTGGATTATTTCAAAGTCCCGTGAAAGCCTTACTTCCTATGAGTAAAAACCAACATCAAAGTTCTGGCAACATGTTTTTACTACACCATTAAAATAACTGGCCAATTTGCCATTCATTAACAAACCACTCCAAGATCTGTACATAATTTTCTTATTCAGTATCAATAATTGTTATAACTATTCTACCTAGCTAATTATTAAATGATTGTATACTATTTACAGGGATAGGTATATAAATATCTAGAGGGAAAGAACTGTCAATGTTACATATTTATTTTTAAATACCTTAGTATTTGGATATATTTTATAAAACCTGCCGTACAAGAGAATAGAAATGCTAGAGTAACACTCACATTCCACGACAGTGGAGACTTTAAAAATAAATAAAATATGTGCGTCAATATTCCGAGATTTAGAAAAGGCTTTTGACAACGAATTACGCAATACTCTATTATATGTATTCGAGAAGCACATAAGGTTTCTTTGTACATGATTAATGTGTAATAAATAAGGAAGGAAGTTTCATAATCAAGATTAAGCCAATATTAGCCAATAAGTTAGCAAAAGGACCTACAAATCATGGTAAGATAAAAAGATAAATAACTATGTGTACTAAAGATGACTAAAAACCATCAATAGGTGAGATTTGCACAATACCTACTACCAAATTTATTAAAATAATTTACTCTTTTTCAATTTTAACCAGAACACCAACGGTTGACACATTGTACGAGGACAGGACAAAAAGTTCTCGTTGTAGGTTAGAGATGGCGCTGCTACGCATGAAACTGTTGCTCATATGTAGCAGTGCCGTTAAACGTGATTGTGACAAACTATTTGTTTATTTTATTTAGCTGTCTAAAATACGTATCCTGCTTGTTTTGATATACTGGATAAATATAAATACCGTTTCGTAATAAAATTCTTCTTTTGAAGGTTTATAGTCTTAGGCTTATTCTAAGGAAGGTTTATAGGTTAGTGAAAGTCTTAAGATGTTTCTTCTTCACTGGTTTTCCAACTCGAGATGAGTCTTCGCCGCTTACACTATCGCTCTCCATCCTCTACGATCTTGGGCTTCTATTTCCCATTGTTGTACTCCAATACTAGATAAATCGACTTCAACATCATTCTTCCATCTTTTCTCGGTCGGTTTCCCTCATATATATGGGAATTATAACGCTTCCATTCCATTCTCTAGGCATTTTCTGTTGCTGCCATACTCTCAGAATGATGTTATACAATTTTTGGTGTAAAAGGTTTCCTCCTTTTTTTAACAACTCTCCATTTATGTCATCATTTCCTGGTGGTTTATGGTCTTTTAGAGACGCGATCGCATTCTTTACTTCCTCAAGTGTTGCTGCTGGTATTTCGATATCTGCAGAATGAAACTTAATATCTGCTTCCTCCGTCTCACTTTCAATATTTAGTAAATTCCGAAAGTATTCCTTCCATCGTTCGACGATTTCCGTTTCTATCATTATAAGTTAACCTGCTTCATTTCTCATAGGCAGTGTTACTCAAACACTTGCACTTTTTCTGACTGACTTCATTAAAGAATTTCCTTATTTTATTCCTCCCGCCACTTCTGCCCAAAAATTTGACTCGCAATGGGATTCAATACAATAGAGTGATGAGTCCAGATTTGAAGTGTGTGTTAGAGACAGAAACATACCGACTGTCTCAAGAGAAAAGTCAAATTTCCTGCATCTGTCATGATCTGGGGCAGCATGTCGTCTAAAGGTGTGGGAAAGTAACATTTTATCGATGGAATTGTAAAGACGGACAAATATTTGAATATTTTAGAAGAATCTGTTTTACCGATTACGGAACAGTGTATTATATATGGCTAGGTTTTTGTTGTGTAAGATTTTAAAAAAATTCATTTTTTTTAATGTAGATTGCAAAATTATGCGAAATTTATTAAATCGATTTTAATGAAATTTAGTGGCTATTTTATTATGTTATAAAGATTTTCTAGACGAATTACAAATGCAATCTAATAGTTTGAAAAATTTTTGCTATTTTACAACAAGGGTAATAAATTACATTTTTATCCAGCCATATCTTATAGAAAATTTAATTGTCGCTATTTTAATTTATTACAAGTTTGAAATGAATTGTTGTAATGAATAAAAGTAGAAAAAAATCTAACTATGTGTTTTAATATTTTATTTTTTTTAATATTCCCGACCTATTTGAAAAGGAGGATATGTCAATTATTATTACTTCAGTTATTACACAAGTTTTTCTGCAAAATTCCGAATTCCACCTCTCAAATCCTCCTCAAAACAGATCCACCTTGGTCGTGGCCTCTACAGTCTCTACATTCACAGTCCTCACCTGTTTTTTATGTTTAGTTGCGTTTATCTTTATGTATTATGCTACAATAAGCAGATATTTTCTATAATCGTTCCGTGTGAATTCACTACTAACTTGATATTATATCAAAAACGGTGCATCCGTTTATTTGTATTTAATTGATCTGATCTGAAATCTTATCTGATATCAAAAAATAATTTCTACTACATCTATTGCTGAAATAATAGTCTCACAGCTGCATATATTTCAAATTCATTTCCCAATATTTTACATTTTCCATAAGTAGAGGTCAGTGCCGGCGTCACGTTGTTTGCAGGTCTGTCGTTAGGGGTTTTAAACAAATTAGTATTCGCATAGAAAATTGAGTTATTTCAAAAATTAAATACTTTATAAAATCATTATTAATAAGATAGGTTCATTCTCTTTATGATTTTAATCAGTTTCAAAATCTTAATCCTGTTGATAACATCGCTTCCAAACGACGAACTTTTTATCTTGCTCTCGGATGTCACTATTGGGTTTAAAATATGAACAAATGGTTTATAACTAAGACCAATTTTTCGCTAGACCCAGGATTAATAATCTCTTATAGTATTTTAGCCTTATAGTCTATAAAATGAAACAAAAAGTTTGTATATATTGAGGTATTTATAGTTTTGCCCACTACTGTATCAGAAAATCAATTTGATACTATCTATGACATATAAAAACTAGGTTATACATTTTTTTACTTCATTTTATAAGACTCTCTCTTAATAATAGTTTCAATGCCTTGAAATAATATCGCAAAAAGCAAAGTCATAGCATGACACAAAGCCAAAAAGCACAATATTTGACGTGACATGTCCTCAACAGAGAACATGGTAGAATTTGTAATAGGTCTTGTATGTAATCACATGGTATAGTAGAACTTGTGGAAAGTCTCCAAAATATACTGAGTGGTTTATAATGAATCGGTCTTTTTTGTCTGCAGATTATGTGTATCTCTATACTGATGATTGGCTCACATTGAGTTGGCAATTGGGAACAAGTTTTATATATTCTTGTAGATATTCCTCCATTAATAAAACTAATATACAATATATTTAGATACAAGTATAGATTTCTCTCTCATTGAATTTTGAATAATAATTAAGTAAATGAGGTGTAGGATGGTCTAAGAAGTGACTAAATTATCACAGGAGATCTGTGATGAGACACAAAAACATGTGATAAAAGTTAAACTCAGAGAGATTTTCTAAACTACGGATTGCAATGGGTAGCAGACTATTCGAACCAATAGAGAGCTCATAGATCTAATAGTAGACTTTGTACAAACGAATAGGCTGGATCAAGTGGAACACATGGATGTTTTAAAAACTTGATTCACTGCAAACAAGAGGGAAGAACTCAAAGTCGTCAAAGAAAGAGCTAGTCTATTATGTAGAAGACTTGCGAGAATATTCAGTGAGACATGAAAATCCTCTTAATACAAGAGTGACAAGATTATACTGGACGGCGAATCAGAATAATGAGTAGATTATTCAAACCAATAGAGATAAGAGATCAGTTAGAAAGATAGAGATTTTGTTTTGTCACACCAAAAAATATTCTATGCAGATTTATTTTCATATTATATATGCATATGAAAAATGCAAAATAAAGCAAAAGTGTTAAGTTTTTAAAAATAATACAACTGTTAATCGACAACGAAAATTTACATTTTAAACATCTCGGTCTAACCCTAGAAAAGCTACGTAAAGCTGTCAGTGACCAACCACAGGTTCAAGTAAATAAATCTGAACACCTTGCAGAGATCGTCACCTGCTACAGAGATAGTAGTAGTTTTGTGGATAGGTGGCGCTGCTATTTTCGTTACGGACGAAAGACGTGCGAAAACACTCAGGAATATTTTGTGAACGGGATATCTGAATAAGGAGTCAAATATTCGAATCAATAAGAAGATGAAAGATCAGTTCCATACATCCTTTAATCGAACGCTTTATACAAGTGAATAGACTTAGACTTAAATGGCTGAACCATGTGGAACGCAAGGATAGAGGGTAAAAAATTATAAATTCCAAACAAAAGGTAAGAAGGACTTTGGGTCAGCGTAGCAAGAGCTGGTCTATTATGTACAAGACTTAGATAGAGTGCCCATTCGAAACAGGCACGAAAATTTGCTAAACACGCGCGAAAAGAAGATAATCGGAAATACTTTTTAAACGGCGTCTCATAATTGCAAGTAGAAGATTCGTACGAATAGATACTTAAAAGATATCTGCCAAGCATACATCGATAGTGGTCAGCACACAAAAAGTTAATCAATTCCAAGCCGAAGGTAAGTAAATCTTTTAATCGGCATAGAAATTAGTTAGAAGTTTTCAATTTGCATAGAAATGATGTACAAGCATTAAATAAAAACCACGAAAATCAGAATGAGGAGTAGAGCATTAGAACCAATAGAGAACTAATAGATCTCGACAAAGTATTCACCTCATGCCTCACACTTCGATGAATATCGAATATGAAGCAATGATGTCTCATGTGCCTAAAACTTTTCTCATATTCATTCATACACGAATTTACAAGAAGTGTGTTTCAGATGAGCGGCACTCAATTCGGATTACGAAATGGATTGGGAACACGAGAAGCTCTTTTTGCCTTAAAGGTGTTTACACAACGATGCAGAGACATGAATGTAGATGTATATGCATAAAATATTTGCGAGCAAATATCAACAGCCAGCGAAACCCAAAAAAAGAAATCCTGTCAAGAATCGAACAAGCGCGGAACACAATCATGAACATGAAAACATTTTTTACAAGATCAGACCTATGTCTAGAGCTCAGAATTCGAATGATCAGATGTTACGTTTGTTCTATTTTGCTGTATGGCTGTGAATGTTGGATAATGGACTCTGAAACAGAAAAATGAATAGGTGCCTTTGAAATGTATATATACAAACGGATGCTGAGAAAGATTTTCTGAGCAACGAATCAGAATGAGGAGGGGAAGATAAGATTATTTAAAAAATAAGCTGCGATGCCATCTGGACAAATGTCAAAAAGTTGATCCATTCCAAATGAGAAAGACGATATCGGCATATGTATAGAACGAGCTGATTTGTTTATGTAGAGGACCCTCGTATCATAAACACAAGGTGGTCGCAAAAACAAGTATTCGACAATAAAGTTTGGGGGACGTTTAAATCCGTTTGATAATAAAACATGTCAAGTAAATTATACATAGAAGATTCCTCACTTAATCACAAAAGACGAAATAAACAATCATTTAGGCAATCTGAACTCCTCTATGGATTTAAAAATAGCAAAATAAAACGCATAGAACAAGATAATAAAGAATCCCTCGTATAAGATTTGTAGACCTTAATAGATACTTAAGTGACATAAGGACGATCCGTAAAGAAACTATCGAGGAACGCAGACATGTTTAAGATCTGAGGACACCAAGTGACAGATAATAAACAGTGGCTCAGGCCCACTATGGGTTGCCCCAACCGCTGAGTTGTAATGGTCGTATGAATGACTGCCCAAACATTAGCAGACTATGTATCTATTTTTAGGATCTTTCATTTCAACAGAAATTGATGGTACTACAAAAACCTTTTTTTCGATGATTATTAAACACCTACCAGTAGATATTCTCGTATTCGCATGGAGTCCCATGATAACTCCACGTTTTCCTACATTTTTTCTTTCCTGTATCGTTTTCGTTGTAATATGTAATTCAAATACATTTTATATACTTATACATTCTATTTGAGAAATATGCCCATTTCAAAAGCTTTGAGTTTACATTATTCAATTTTAATGTCCATATTTCTACTTTCTACTGTCAGTCCTGTAACATATTTCTAAAATGTTTTTAATTTCTGAAACATGGATCTTGTGTGTCCTATTTGGATTTCTTGTTCATCATAAATGCTGATAAAATTATAATTGAAGCTAGAAAAACATACTCCGGGCAAATGTTGAGCCTCACAGAGTTTATCGAGGATGGGTGCGAAAGCAACGAGATAACTAGCGTTACATTGGTCAATCTAACAACTGCCTAAGATATCGTAAACTACAAAAAATTAATAACAATATAAGCACTTTGAAGACCCTAACCTAATGAAAGTTGTACAGTTTTAGAACAAAATAGGAGATTCTACGTCAAGTTAGACGGAGCATTAAATAAAGCAGCCTTCATGGTTGAAGCACATATATACGTCCCTCTAGTGTTCAATATATTCACAAATGAACAGCAAATAACAATTGATGAAAGACATCTCTTATATGCTAATAACCTATCGCACTACATTCGCAAGCATGCCAAGTTGGTTTAGGCAACATGTCCAAATTTCTTCTTGATGTACCTATCCGTTACGAATTTGGCGATCATCATGGATCTGTTACAGCGCTATCAAAAGCTGCACAGATGTTGTATTGAACCAGATTCCGAGGTTCTTTAATCAAGATGTTCTTCTTCTTCCTGGATCCCGTTTTCCAAAAATTTTTCCTTGCAGGATGGCTTGAAGGAGAGCATATCTGGATTCATTTCGCATATATGTCCGAAGAATTGTAACTTTCGACTACTCTACTACTTT